TTCGAAACCAGCCTGAGCAAGAGCGAGACCCCGTCTCTACTAAAAATAGAAAGAAATTAATCGGACAACTAAAAATACACAGAAAAAATTAGCCGGGCATGGTGGCGCATGCCTGTAGTCCCAGCTACTCGGGAGGCTGAGGCAGTGGGATCACTTGAGCCCAGGAGTCTGAAGTTGCCGTGAGCTAGGCTGATGCCACAGCACTCTAGCCCGGCCAACACAGTGAGACTCTGTCTCAAAAAAAAAAAAACAAAAACACCCCAGCATTCCCTAACTTAAGTCCACCAGTGGGGGCTCGTTGAAGGAAACGTTTCTCCAAGAGCCATGAGGAGGGAGGGAAGAAGAAAATGGCCTCCTAAAAGAGAGGTGGCAGATGTCTCTAGAACGGTGGTTCCCCACCCAGAGTGATTTGTCCTTAAGGGGACATTTGGGAATGTCAGGCAGCATTTTTGGTTGTCACAGCTGTGAGGGGGGCAGCAGGTAGGAGTGCTACTGCTAGCACCTAGGGGAAGATGCCAGGGTGCTCCTGAACATTCTGCGGGTGTCCCCACGACAAAGACTCATCCAGCCCAAAATGTCCACAGTGCAAGTTGAGAAGCCCTGCCCTACAGAGGACTTCGGTTGTTACAACTGCTTTTCGATTCTCTGAAAAGGGCTCCCAAGGCCTCAGTGTCCCACTTGGACTCATGAGTCAGGTATCAAGTCACGCTCCTAAAACCTAAACCCTCCTGACCTGGAACGGGACGTGCTAGAATGTGCGAGAAGCAGGATGAGTCACTGGATCCATTTTCAGTTCATTCCACCCACGGATCCGTCCTTTGCAGGCGCCCCAGAAACGATTGCTTCAGAGCTGGCACCAATGGCAAAGGGACAGAGGCCCAGCAACAGGGCGGGATTGGCAGGCAGACAGCGGCACGTGATGGGCTGAGCTCACAAAGGGCCTGGGTGTGGGGCTGCGGCTGGGGAGGCTGGGGGTGGACGCGAGCCTGCCTGTCCCCTGCTTTTCTTGCTTCCCTCAAAGGATTCAGCCCCCAAGGTCACAACCTTGTATGTGACTTAACCCAGCACCAAGAAGTTGTCTGAGTGCATAAGGGTCAGCAAACATGCTCCACGCAAGAGAAAGAGTGAGATCAGAGGGCTGGGTGGGAAAGCTCTGCCTCGCTTTGTCATCGCTTATATAATAACCATAAAAGGTTGTCAAGGGTGTCTGCGGGTTAGAGGCCTCACAAACAGGAAAAAAAAAACCCAAGGGATTCTGTTCTTTTTCCTGTTTACCTACGTGCTTCTGAATTGTGTGGCAGAACAGGAACTGCTCCGTCTTAAAAATAACCAATTCATCCCACACCTGTCAAAATCAGACTTAAGGTCTGGAATCCAAATTTGCCTGCTTTAGGAATATTAGAAAGTTAGTTAACCTATTTGGGCTTTATTTTTGTCACCGTTTGTTTGGCTTTGTTTTTAAATTATAGTAAAATACACATAACATAAAACTTACCGTTTTTAAGTGTACAGTTCAGTAGTGTTAAGTACATTCACACTGTGCCACTGTCAGCACCATCCATCTCCAGAACTGTTCCCATCCTGTGCAAAGGAAGCTGTGTCCCCATTAATCAACTCCCCGTTCTTCTTCCCCGAGGCCCTGGCACCCTCCATTCTACTCCCTGTCTCTGTGAGTGTGACTACTGCAGCAACCTCATATAATGGGCTTTGTTTAATTATTATTATTATTATTTTAATCTTTAAAATTTTTTTTTGGAGACAGAGTCTCACTCTGTTGTCCTGGCTAGAGTACTGTCAGCCTCACTCACAGCAACCTCAAACTCCTGGGCTCAAGCCATCCTCCTGCCTCAGCCTCCCGAGTAGCTGGGACTACAGGCATGCGCCACCAGGCCCGGCTAATTTTTTCTATATATTTTTAGTTGTCCAGCTAATTTCTTTCTATTTTTAGAGTCTTGCTTTTGCTGAGGCTGGTCTTATACTCCTGACCCCAAGCGATCCTCCTGCCTCGGCCTTCCAGAGTGCTAGGATTTATAGGCGTGAGCCACCGCACCTGGCCCATTTAATTAAATGTAAAATAAAATATAGAAGTTGAGAAAATGTTTTCTCTTAAAGACTAACGATTTTTCTGGAAAGCTCCAATTCCTAACATAAGCCTTTAACAATAACAACTCCTTATGGTATTTTTTTCCGTGTTATGTACCATCAATGGAAAAGAAGCCAAACTCTGTAAAATAATTTAAAGAGGTTTATTCTGAGTCGAATTTGAGGACCATGACCCGGTTTTACACATTTCAGGGAGACAGGAATTACAGGTAAGGTCCTAAGTCAATACATGAAGGGCATACATTAGTTTGGCCCGAAAAGGTGGGACATCTCAAAGTAGGGGCTTTCTTGGACCGGGCTTGGTGGCTCACGCCTGTAATCCTGCCCCTCTCAGAGGCCGAGGCAGGAGGATGGCGCAAGCTCAGGAGTTTGAGACCAGCCTGAGGAAGAGTGAAACACTGTCTCTACCAAAAAAAAATACAGGGGCTTACAGGTTATAGGTGGGTTTAAATTTAAAGACTCTTTGACTTGTAATTGGTTAAAGACCTGAAGCTTTGTCTAAAGGCTCGGGACCTTTTAAGATAAGGAAGTCAGTCAGTCCGAGACAAGCCAGGGGACATACATGCGCGGCGTAAATGGAGGACCTGCGGTGTGACTTGCACAGGCTTAGGCCTGTCGCTGGGTTACGAAGGACGTCTACAAGCAGGGAGGGGAGCATGACGAGGCCTGTCTGGCCTCCGTCCTCCCGGCAGTCAATTCAGTTTTAGGGTATCCCCTTGGCCAGGAGGGGTCCATTCAGCCAGCCGGTTGTTGGGGGGGAGGCCTTAAGATTTTATTTTAGTTCACAGCAGTA